AGTATATTACATTGATCTTATTGTGCTGACCTATCCTTCCAGGATTTATGCATGGGGTAAATTCAGCTTTCATTTAGAGTGTATTGTCTAACATGCCATTGGAGCTGGATGTGGTGGTGCATGCCTATAATCCCAGCACTTGGGAGGCTGAAGCAGGAGAATTGCTGCAAGTTTGAGGCCAGCCAGGACTACATAATGAGACCCTGTCTCCCAGAACCCCCCAAAATATTATATAATAATATGCTGTTGGATTTAGTTTGCTGTATTTTCTAGAGGATTTCTGCATCTATATTCATGAAGGGAATTGATCTGTAATTTTCTATTCTTACGGTGTATTTGGCTTTGGTAGAGGGGGTAATGGTGACATCATAAAATGAATTAAGATTCTGTGCTTTTGAAAGACTTTGGAGAAGGATTAATGCTGACACTTCTTTAAATATTTGGTAGAATTCATCAATGAAGCCATCTGGTCTGTACTTTTTGATTTGGGGGAAGATTTTGATTGCTGTTTTAGTGTCTTCAGTTGTTATAGAGCTATTTAGGATTTCTGTTTCATCTTGGGTCAGTTTGAGTAATGAGTGTTTCTAAGATTTGTCTATTTCACCTGTGTTACCTAATTTGTTGGTAATCATTCAGCTTATTTTTACAATGCTTTTTACTATTAAGATCCATAATAATGTCCTCACTTTCATTTTTTAGCTGTCATGTCTTCTCTTTTTTCTTAATTTAACTAAAAGTTAATACATTGTGTTGATATTTGCAAAGAATTAACTTTTCATTTAAAGATTCTGTTCTTCTCTATTTCATTTCTCTCCACCTTAATCTTTATATTTTCTTCTTTTGGCTAGCTTTGGGATGAGTTCTTTATCTAGTTCTTCAAGTGTAAAGTTAGGTGATTGATTTGAGGTCTTTGTTAATACACACATGATCATAGATGTAAATTTCTCTCTTCGCACTGTTTTCACTGCCTCACCTAATTTTTAGTACCTTGGGTTTGTTTTGTAGCCTAAAATGTCTGTCCTAGAAAATGTTCCATGTACACTTGAGGAAAATGCATACTGTTGTTGGATGGAGTTTCTTTAATTCATCTATAGTGTTTAAGTCCTTTATATCCTTTCTCATCTTCTGTCTATGTGTTATATCTGTAACTTAAAATGGGGTATTAAAACCTCAACTATTATTGTAGAACAGCCTATTTCTTTTCTCAGTTCTGTCAGTATTGCTTCATATGTTTGGTACTTCATTGTTTGATGCATATATGTTTACAGTTATTGTGTCTTCTTTTAAATTGGCCCTTTTGTCCATATATCATAACCTTCTACTGTATGCCTCTTGTAAAGATTTGTGACTTTAAGTCAATCTTATGTAATGATAATATTACTGTCCCTGAACCTTTTTGGTTACTATTTGCATCCGCTATCTCTTTCCATCCTTTTCCTTTCAACCTTTTATGTCTTTCATTATAAAATTAGTCTGTAACAGACAGCATTGTGTTGGATCATCTATTGTATCCATTCTTCCATGCTCTGTTTTTTATGGTGAGTTTAATCTAGTGACATTTACCACAATTACTGATAAGGAAGGACTTATACCATTTTGTTATTTGTTTCTACATATCTTATGTCTTTTTGTTGTTGTTGTTCCTCATTTCCTCCAGTACTGCCTTCTATTTTTTTTTCTAGTATACCATTTTCATACTTTCTTCGTTTCTTTTTCTGTATATAATTTTTTAGTGGTTACCATGGGGATAACAGTTAACATTCATGTTTTTAACAATCTGGTTTTAACTGATACCAATTCAGTTTCTTTTTTTTTGAGACAGGATCTTGCTGTATAATTCAGGCTAGACTTGAACTCACCATGTAGCCCAGGCTAGCCTTGAACTCATAGCAATTCTCCCACCTCAGCCTCCTGAGTGCTGGGATTACAGGCATGAACTTTAATTCAGTGTCAGTAATATACAAAAACTGCTCCTGGGCTGGGGATTTAGCTCAGTGGTTTCGCCACCTGCTGCGCAAGTGCAAGGACCCGAGTTTGATCCCCAGTACCAAAAAAAAATATATATATATATATATGTGTATATATATGTGTGTGTGTATATATGTGTATATATATGTGTGTGTATATATGTATACATATATATACGCGTATATATGTATACACGTATATATACGTGTGTGTATATATATATACAAAAACTGCTCCTACACAGATGTTATCCCCCCAACATTATGTTGTTCTTGTCACAAATTATATCTCTATACATTGTGTTCCTGCTCAAACAGCTTTATAATTATTGTTTTGTGCATTTGTCTCTTAAATCATATAGGAAACAAAATGAAAAACTGCAAATCAAAGTGTAATAATACTGGCTTTTTTAATATTTACCTGTATAGTTACCTTTATCGGAGTTCTTATTTCTTCATATGGCTTTGAGTTACTATCTAATGTCTTTCATTTCAGCCTGAAGGACACCCTTTGGTATTTTTTTAAGGCAGATATACTAGCAGTGAATATCCTCAGCTTTTCTTTATCTGGAAGTGTCCACTTCATTTTTGAAGAAGAGCTTTGTAAGATATGGAATTCTTGGTTGGTGTTTTTGCTTGTTTGGAGGGGTTCCACTTTCGCACTTCAGATATGTCATTCTACAGCTTTCTGCTCTGAAGCTTAGCTGGCTGGTTCCAGCTCAGGGTTCCTCACCAGTTTGTGATCAGACTAATTGACCAGGACTGCAGTCACCACAAGGCCTAACTACAGCTGAGAAGTTTCTGTCCAGGCCACTCAGTCAGGTGGCTCCTGGCAGGCCTCACTTCTCCACTGCTGTGAGCAGGAGGCACAGTTCTTACCGCTTCACCTCTCCACCATGCTGCACACAACATGGCAGCTGGCTTCCCCAGACCAGCAGATCCAGGAGAGAAAGACATCCTCCACCATTGTCTTGATTGCTTTGTTTTTATTTGTTTGAAGGCTGTTGACATCCTTTTATCAGACTCTCCAGTAGGTACTCTCCTTGCATGACAGAAATTTGGACCAGTAGTAGTCATCAGTGGAGAGGGATTGGTAACACCTTTCCCCAGAAGCATTGCCACTAGTGCTTTCCTCATCTTTGGAAACAGTAGTAAGAGGGTGAAAGGCTACTTCATCCAGCCTTGGGATGGAACAGCAGAGCTTTGTAATTGACCTTCTCTCTCCTCCCTCATATTTCTGTCCTTCCCCATCCAAAGAGTCATGAAAATAGGCCAAGTACCCAGGACCTTAAAAATATTAGCCCGTTTTTCACTGGAGGTTTGTTTAATGGAGGAAACGTGTCCTTTTTGTTTAAATTTAAAACTGTGTGTTTGTGTGTGAGAGCGAGTGAGAGAGAGAGGGAGGGAGAGAGATAGAGAGGGAGAGAGAGAAGGAAGAGAGAGGAGGGGAGACTTGAATGATTCTCACATATTCCTCAGTCAGATCAGTCAGGTCTTTATTGTATACCTGCAATGTGTGACGTATTTGCTTTTCTTTCTTTTTTTTTCTTTCCTTTTTTTGTTTTAGAAGTACTTGCTTTCACATAGGAGTACAAAAATAAAGTTTGTGTAAAACAATCCCCACTCTCAAGCAGCTTATAGTATAAAAGGGAGATGTGTGACATGACTGGGAAAAAAAGAGCAGTAGTTGCCACAGTACTGATACACTTTCCTGCGTATGGAGAGCAGAGGGAAATACGAGGTGGCCAGGAGTGTGAGAGATCTTTGGGATTTTTTTTTTTTAATTTTTCAAGTCTGGTAAATCACACACACACACACACACACACACACACACACACACACACACACAAAGTCTAGTAAAGGGCCAGGGATTTAGCTCAGTGGTTCCGCCACCTGCCTAGTAAGCTCAAGGTCCCAAGTTTGATCCCCGGTACCAAAAAAAAAAAAGTCTAGTGAAACATTTTGTAGCGTTATGATTTTCCAATGATTTTGATGTTGTGTTTAGAGGACCAGTCTTGCACTTTGGCTCCTGCCTGTGGATAATGAGATAATGTAATTCTAATTTTTTAATTGCTTACAGTTACCATATAAAAAGACCATCACAATTTTTCAAACAAAGTTAGGTTTTTCAACAAAGTAAGTTAGGTTTGTATTTATAGTTTTATATCTGTACTGTTCTAAAATCATTAGAGTACTTACAGAGCATAAAACTAATTAGCCCACTACGTCATGGCAGATTAATAACAAAAGCACAGTTTACCTGTGTGCTAGCTGCCATTTCTGCGTGGATATAATAATGCAATTGGCACTTCTTATGTTTACATAGGTGCTCCTAGAAGGGGTTGAGAATAATCAGGACTCCAGCCTCTTGCAAATGGCCCTTCCCTGGCAGTTGCAGCTCTCTTTTAGTGGATGTGATAGGCAGACTTTAAATATCCCAGATAAAGGTAGTTCCTCCCTCTCTAGATTGGGATTATTCTGAAGAAGAAGAGCGTATATGTAAAGTGGTAAACATCATTCAGCTCTGTAGTGTGCTGTAGGCTAGAGCTTGACCCATACATAATGATGGTGGCCTTGCTTCTGGGAAACTACACCTACTTAGTCCGGGGATTTAGCTCAGTGGTTCTGCCACCTGCCTCACAAGTGCAAGGTCCTGAGTTCGATCCGCGGTACCAAAAAACCCCCCAAAAAACAGAAAGAAACTACACCTACTTCCTGCAAAATATTGAAATCAGAGAGAGCAGCCTGTACTTCATTTTTATACACAGGAATTATACCATGAATTTTTCTCTTTGTGTAATTTAGACTGTTACATCTATAGAGTCCTGTTTATTGCAGTTTTGTTATCTAATATCTTCTGCTGGATTTTAACATTTTACTCCCCCCAATGAAATCCATAATATGAACATCTCTATTACTATGTTCCAATTTTGAGTACATTCTTTTCTTTCTTCTGGCCGCAGTTAAACTGTTTCTTGTTTTTGTTCTTTTAATAAAAATGAATTTTGAATTTTCATTTAATTTTTCTCTTAGACCGTTAAATCCCACACAGAAACAGATGAGAAACAAACAGAAAGCCGTACCATCACCCCTCCTGCTGCACCCAAACCAAAACGGGAAGAAAACCCACAGGTAGGCCTATCTTTCAAGTCCATGATGACTCAGTCGATGATGTGTGGTGTATTCTCACACGACAGGAGGGCCACCTGCCTTGTGAGCCACTCCACATTCCTGTTCTTGTACTCTCTTGTATTCAACAGTGTTATTGCCAAGTCAGGTTGGCCTAGAGCAGATTTCTTGGAGTGTGGTCCTAAGAAGCCTTGCACTACCATGTATTTTAGTGTTTCAAAGGAATAATTTTAAGATGATGTTGTTTATATGCATACCACAATTTCAAAATGTAAAATTAATGTTAATTTTCCTGGCTGTGCTATTTTATTCCAAATGATTATTATGTTCTGTTTTTTCTCAGACATTTGTAAGATGTCCAGTTTACTCAGCTAAGTCTGTTTACATTGTTGATTATAGGAGTTAAATGTGCATTTTTGTCACTACCATTTTATTGCATTAGAACTCCAAATCGTGAATGAATCAGTAGCTCAAAAGTAGTTCATTTAAACACAAAAGAAGAGATGACAAATAGTAACATCAATACTTAAACTTGGGATAGAATGATAAAGAACACACAGGAGGACCCTGGTACAAACATGGAATGTGAATCTGTATGTCCTTAGACAAGAGCATATTTTAGTTTGATGCTTTTGTACAAACTATAAAAGAAAAATATGGACAGGTAATATGATGATGAATATCTGATAGTTGAATTTTATTAGACCAATAATCCGTTTTCCTCTGTCCTTGCTATATTCTTGGTAATGAAACCATGTCAGATAGTGGCATGAAGCCATCAAAGCCTCATGTTATTTTTTTATATAAAAAAGTAGTGATTTATTGAGCTAATTCGTGTTCTTCTAAAACAAGTACCAAATCAAATGTAATTCTGATATGAAATGAAGTTTTAATTTTAACTTTAAAGAAAGGACCAAAACTTGAACCAAAAAGTACACACTATAAATTGCTGAGACACTTGTAAAATCATCTACAAAACTGACAGATACATAGTGATGGAGGAAAAATAGAGCAAACATTAGCAAAATTCCGTATCAAAAGAAACTGAACCCTAGCACTAAGAGAAAGAGAGGGAAGCAGGAAGGCAGAAGGAAGAGGAGAGAAAGTGAAGAGAATCTCATGTCAGTGGCACACAATGGTCAGGAAAGTGCCAGCATGTGAAGTTCCAGATACTTCACCTTCTATTTGAACAGAATCCTTGCCATTCAGAAAGTAAATTAGTTCTTGGTGTATGTGGGATGGAGGCAGAACTCTTGATAACTTTTTATTCTGTCACTGAAAATACGTTCCACAAGAGAGGAGATTTTGTTCACTTAATAATTATTTATGAGCTTGATCTAGACTGGCAAAGATGAGCTGGATGTGAGTAGCCAAGAAGGGTGCTGTTACTTGATTAAAAGAGAATGCATCTGAATGTCAAGTCACACACTACTTTATGAGCAGAAGACATTAGTGCACAGCCTTCTAATCGTGATTATATTTTAAAGTATAGTGGAAATTAGGAACATGGTTAATTGGAAGCCACAAAATGTGTACCACTTCAGTGTGAAGCACAGAAAATGGACAGTGAGTCCAGGGCTTAGTTTTCCATACCAGAATATTCTGGCTGTCAAGAGGCTACATTTTTGAAATAAGAAATAAAAGTATTTCTTCAGGACCCTGAAGATAACAATAAAGAGCATTCCTACCTTCTCAAGTAGCCTACTCAAGGATTGTATCTTGAATATGCTGAGTCTGTCACTTCAGGCCCCAGTATATAATGTTTAATGCTAAGGAAAAGACATCAAGATTTTTTTTTTTTTTTTTTTTTTTTTGGTACCGGGGATTGAACTCGGGTCCTTGCGCTTGCGCAACAGGCGGCGAAACCACTGAGCTAAATCCCCGGCCCGACATCAAGATTTTTAATGACCATGCTCTAGTATTTAATAACTCTACAAGAGTATGTCTCCTAATAATTGAAGATATTCTTTATTCATCAGAGAAAGAAATTGATGGTGTATCATTTGGCATATTTGGAAACCACATGCAGTGATACAGAGAGATTGAGACCACAGAAAACCAGAAAGAACAGAAATCAATCTGTTGTTCTGTCCACCTGGAAGTATCTTGACATTCCATCTTTGGGATGCAGTGTACTAATAATCCTTTTTTCTGATGGAGCCCTAAGAATAGTCTTCAGATAGAAATTGCTCCATAATTTGTAGGGCCATGTTTAATTGAAAAGTCATAATATTGAGCGGAGCCCCTGCTGTTCTTCCTAAAAATCATTTAGCTTTGAGTTAACATTGTCTACTCAGTGGCAGTAAAAATGAGAGAACTTCCAACCTAGTCATGCCAAGTGAAATCGTGACTTAGAATTTGGAACTTGTGACATGGGAGGCTCTTTAAACTTTATGCTTTCAAGTATGAAATCCTCTTCTTTTAAGATTTTTCTGAAAGGAAAAAAAGAATCTTGGGTCCCTTCAGATGTTGATTTCTTGAAGCAAGAGGATTGCCACAAGTTCAGGGCCAGCCTGGGCTACATAGTGAGTCCAAGGCCAGTCTGAACTACATGGTGAGACCCTGTCTTCTAAAAAAAAATGCTTATTTCTGACATTGAGAAGGTGGGAAATGTAGGCCCCACCCTCCTTCTGTTGGCCCTGTCAGACCAGAATGCACCATAGCAGCTTGGGAGCTGCCCACTCTTGGTTCCTCTGAATTCAGCCTCCCACAAGCACCAGTCCACTGGGTTGGCTTTCCCTGGTGTCTAACTAGGAACCTACAGGTGTCTTTGCGAGAATCCAGACTGAAATATATTCTTTTTTTGTTTTTCTGGCACAGAAACTTGCCTTCATGGTGTCTCTAGGGTTGGTAACACATGACCATCTAGAAGGTAAGAGAAGATATTCTTGGCACTGCTTCCTTTCTGGCCCACAGCTTTGTTCCTGAAAGTGGTGTTTGATTGAATTCCTGGAATAGAAAATTGGAACACAAATAGAGTGTGATTCAACAAATGTGGACTTTATTTCCTTTAGAGGAAAATTGCCTTCCTTCCATTTTATGTCAGGCCCTCCCCTGCCTAGCATCATCCCTACTCCTCCCTGGGGCAAATGTCCCCAGCTCCCTGAATTAAGGTGACTTCTGTCCACTATAGGGGAACTTTTTCATTCTGATAACACAAAATGACAAATGCTCATCTAACAAGCCCTTGTCTATATTTTCCAATCACTCAGAATCTTAAGGACAGTTGCAAAGCCATGCCTGACCTGGTTATGTAGTTCAAAAATGGTGAACTTCTGTTATTCCATCTGAGTCTGTGGAGAAAGTTCATCCAGACCTACATACACAGCAGTCTAAAAATAAACCGGGACCACTTGTTTACAAGTATGGCACACTGTGAAGCTCTCAATCACAGAGAGCCACGCCGTAGCCTTGCTTCTTGAGAGTTGAGAGTAGATGCTCCCACACAGTTGCTTCCAGATCGTGCTTGCCTCTGTGCAGGCTGCAGAAAAACAGACTTGTCCCTCTCCCTGCCCCTGATTGGTTACAGGAAAACCAATAGATAAACAATGAAGTTCCTTTACTTCGGATTTCCATACCTGACTTCTAATTGGACCCCTTTCTTTTCCCAAGAGATCCAAAGCAAGAGACAAGAGAGAAAAAGAAGAACAACAGCAAATCCAGTGTATAGCGGAGCGGTCTTTGAGCCCGAGGTACTTCTTCCAGCACCCGGCCCTTCCCTCCCAGTCCCTTGATCCATGAGGTCCTTGTTCTCTCCCATGTGAAAACCTGCCCATGAGATGCGCCTGATTGTACTTGGCCAGCTCTGTGGAATGATGGGTTTTTCCCATTATTTCATTTTTATTATTCTTTGCTTACCCTCTAGGTTTTCTTTTCTAAGTTTGAGCAGATACAAACCTTTCTTAAAATGTTAATTTGTCCTGACTTTACAACTCTCATCTGAAACAGAGGCAGACCTCTCTAGAATATTCTCTGAGAGCCAAGTATATGTGATAAAGCCTGTTAGCCCTGAGACTTTGGGATGATTAACACTAGTTGGCATGTTGTAGGCGGTCTTTTGCTCGTGGCAGTGCTGATCACCTTTTCTTCTTCAATCCCCAAAGCGTAAGAAGAGTGCAGTCACCTACCTAAACAGCACAATGCATCCGGGGACCCGGAAGAGAGGTGAGTGTCTTTTTTAATCTCTGTCCTGCTTTGCTATTGCTTTTGCTTTCTATGTTGTGTTTCCTTTCCCTCCTCCCATCACCCTCCCCAAACCTGACTCCTCTATCCCTTGAAAATACTTTTGCTGTTCTCTGAGTATGGGGAAAAAGAGTGAGATTTCTGATTAGAGTCAAAAGCTACTTGGCTGGGTTCTGGCAGAGCTGACTAAAGAGAGCAGCTTAATGCAGCATTTCTGCCCCAAGCCTACCAGGCCATCCGTGAATAGCACGGGGGACAGAATACCATGTGAAAGGAAGCATCGTAGCATCATTAAGCAGAGCCAGAGTACTGCTGTTGCCAAGGTGTTCTTAATAGTGTCTCAGTCATCCTGCTGCCAGGGAGGCTAGAACGTGACTTCAAGTTTCTGTGCGCTGCAGACTTTCCAAGAAGTCTTTAAGAACAGGGCATCTCCAGCAAAGGAAGAAAAGGTCACTGTCAGAACAAGTTCCCCTAACAGACTGCTGAAGAGCTATTCCTGCCTTTCATACCGCCTGTAAGCATTCACCGTATTCTTATTCAAACAGCAGGGGCATCTCTCACCCAGCAGGTCTAAATAGGTCTTAATAGCTCAGGGTTTGAGCTCGTAAACAAGGTACCGAGATTGTTCTTTGATGTCAGTAATCCATCCCAAGGTCCCTTTCTCCACTTGGTAATGTGTCCCTGAATTATAGTTCCAGGCTAGAAAGGTTGCAGAGTGAGTGGACCAGCATACTAATTTTGCATATGCACACACAATCTCAGAGCGAGCTATCAGAAGCTTGGGAAGTCATCCTGACCCTTTGTCTGCCTTAAGCAGAACTACAACTATACCCTCCCAAAAACAGATGTTGTACTCACCCTTAGTGAACCATTCTAATGTTTCAGCAGTCCTGTCCTTCAAAATATTCACAACCAAAAATATTTGGAGGGGAAGCCCTAAGTTACTGTTTTATATTGATTCCTGGGCCACAATAACTAGTGCCATAAGTTATTTTCTGTTGTTTTGTGTTCAGCTATTTTAGTGACCTCTGATAAAATTCTCAGAAACAAGCCCCCCTGCCAGAGGCCACAATTAATCAGCCTACTGGTGGGCAGTATCTGCTGAGAGGATGGGGTGAAATGAGCCAGAAAGACCTTGGAGTCTTTCGCCAAGGTCAGAGGATAAAAGCTTGCATTTACAATGCCTAGGATGTGCTTTCCATGGATAAACAAAGAGTATTCGTCTTCACTTCCCCTCCTGCAGCACTAAATTCCCTAGAAAAGACAAACCAGTAAGATCTGTCTTTGTACTATAGACACTGCTGGTTTAGCACAAGTAGTATTTGTGTAATGGCTGATAGGATCACGACTCTGTACATAATTGTAATATCAGTTGTAACTCTTGGCAAGGGGCCGGGTTTAGCTCAGTGGTTCCACTGCCTGCCTCACAAGTGCAAGGTCCTGAGTTTGATCCCCAGTACAAAAAAAACAATCAAGAGGAGTAACTTTGGCAAAATTGTAATCCCACATGCGCCATTTGCCAGTGCTTACAAGCAGTTCTGGACCACTATGGCTCTTTCTTTTCCTTTGGTATGCAGGACTATGTTCGTAATCACTCACATCTTAGTTGCTATATAGCCTTGGCTCTTAGGAAATGAGGACCCTTGCTTAGATATGTGCTAGAGCATGAGTGGCTGGCCCTAGAATTCCTGCCCCCCTAGGGCTCATGTGTAGAAGCCTCATAGCATGAGATTTGATTTAAAGTGCTCTGCCTCAGACCATGCCTCTCAGGAGTGCTATTGACAGGCCCTTTCCTGGGACTTTGGAACAACCCCTGTCTCAGACATGTAGTTCTCCACATGTGATGTAAATGAGGAGACAGCTTTCAATCTACGGGGAAAAGTGTCTAGGGCCAGAAATGCTCAAATTCATTGTCAGGCCCAGACCTTCCTCTTACTCTTAGGTTCCAGCTACTCCCAGAACGTCTCTCAAAGGCCCTAACAGCAAGGGAAGGGGTAAGAATAGTTCACTCGGGGCCAGAGATTTAGCCCAGTGGTTCTGCCGCCTGCCTTGCAAGCACAAGGACCCGAGTTCGATCCCCGGTACCCAAAAAAAAAAATAGTTCACTTGAATTTTGCCTCCTCACTTTGTCTTTTCAAGCTTCACCAGCAGCAAAATGACCGAAGTGTAGACAGGAGAGACATGGGAAGCAGAAATGCTAATGACATCTATCCATTTGTGGGAACTGAGGAGCACAAGTGTTGTAGTAGGAACGATAAGTTCTCTAAGAGAATCTTAGAGAATGATATGCAAAGACATGAGGAAGAAACACCTGTGTTCCTGACCTTGGCTTCCACTGGCTGTGTTGGTCCTAGCACTGGAGATCTCAAGTTGCAGTAGTCTAGGAGTATCACCCTAATCTGCCCGCAGTGAGGCCTGTTTACATAGCCAGCACCTCCTTTCTCTCTCCCAGGCTCTCCTCTCCTCCCTTTGATGATTTGTGTAGTTGTTTCTAATGACATTTAAATCTTTGCTTCTCTTCCTCCCTTTGGAACTGTTGTATTAACCTTCTGTCTGCTACCTCACTTCCTTTTCCATGCTAGCCAATGAGGAACACTGGCCAAAGGTATGTAAGATTGTTTTCCCCTTCTCTTTCCCTCCCCCTTTTTCCCTTTTGTTCCCTTCTCTTGGTATATAGGTCGTCCTCCAAAATACAATGCAGTGCTGGGGTTTGGAGCCCTTGCCCCAACATCCCCCCCATCCAGTCATCCCGACTCCCCTGAAAGTGAAAAGACAGAGACCACATTCACTTTCCCTGCACCTGTGCAGCCTGTGTCCCTGCCCAGCCCCGCCTCCACAGACGTAAGTAACTTGGGGAAAGTGCGCTGTCTTTTGGAGAGCACATGTTGGGAAAACCGTTGTCCTGTTTTGTCTCCTTGGTAGCTTGCGCTGACCTGAGTACCCCGGAACAGCAGGAAACCCCGTGGAATGCCCTGATGCCGCATCAGGCAGCTTTCCTCTGGGGTCCCAGGCCTTCCATGTCCTCGGAAGCCCAGGGTTTTAGGTCTGTGAATGAGTTCTCAGAAAAGGGATGGGGGAAATGGCTCATGTAATTACAAAGTACATTGGTTTCTGTCGATGGTGTATGAGTGGGGAACAGGAATAATGCATCCGTTGCCCTAGCACCCTTGTTTACTGCTTCAAGCACAATTCTAGAAGTGGAAAATTATCTGTAAAGCAACTTCATAACACAGTTAATCAGAAATACATTTCTGAAAAAGTGCCAAATACTTAGTTAATAGTCTTCACTCAGAAATTTCACGAGTATGAATGGGTGCTCTTTTTTTTAAATGAGCATTTACAAAGCTGTGGCTTCATCAGCAGGTTCTTACTGAGTGCTCTTCTGCTGAGCAAGTAGTAGTGTTCTTGAGGCCGAGAACTCGGCCAGGACCAGTGCCAGCGCCCTGCCTTAAGGAGCTTGTGCTCTGTGGGAAGAGAGGGCTGACAAGTGACATTCAGGTCGTGATAGCTGCTGTGCTGAAAACGGAACAGGAAGTCATAAGGTCCAGGAGTAGCAGGTGGCTCCTGTTGTAGGAGGAGTGGCTATAGGAAGTGAGCCGTGAACCACAGGAGCATGGGGAAGAGGGTTCCATGCAGGGAGCAGCAGCACCAAGTCCTGAGAGGTGCCCGTGCACAGAGCACTATGGCCAGGCCAGGCAAGCGGAAGAGAAGATTCAGCAGGGGCAGGGTGCTCAGCAGGGCTTGGGACTGCATTTTAATTACAAAGAAAGTATTTTGTTCTGAAAATTTTCAGACCTATAGAAAATTACAGTACTGATTCAGTGAACAAATATATCTTAACAGTTCACCAGTTGTTAACATTTTGCTATATTTATTTCTCTGCCCTACACACTTTTTTTAACTGAGCCAATGAAAAGTCGCAAACTTCCTGATTCTTCACACCAAAATGTTTCAAGTGTGTTACCAGGCATGGTGGCTTGTGCCTTTAATCCTAGCACTCGGCTGAGGCAGGAGAATTGAAAGTTCAAAGCCAGCCTGGGCTGTGTAGCAAGGCCCTGTCTGAAACACAAAACCAAAACAGTTTAGTGTATATCTCCTAAAAACAAAGATACTCTTTTATATAGCCACAATCTATTGATTAAATTGAGAAAATTTCGGGCCAGGGATTTAGCTCAGTGGTGCCGCCACCTGCTTCACAAGCGCAAGGTCCGGAGTTCGATCCCCGGTACCAAAAAAAAAAAAAAATTGAGAAAATTTAGTATTGATAAAAATACTAGTATGTAGTATACAGTTCATATTCACAGTTCTTCCATCTGTCTAATAATGGCCTTTGTGATTCCTTTTTTTTTCTGCTCCAGGATCCTATCCACAATTGCTCTTGACATTTATTGTCATGGAATTATATCTTTAGTCTCCTTTATTCTAAAACCATTTCTTAGCCTTTCTTTGTCTTTCATAACAACATTGGCATTTTTGAAATGCCCAGCCACTTGCCGTGGAGAGTGCTTCTCCATTTGGATTGTCTGTCTGATTATCCCTTCAAGAATAAGCTGAAGATGTGCATTTTTGTAGAACACTAAGTGATGACGGGTCTTTCTCAGTGCATCACAACAGGAGGCACATGACAGCAGCCTGTCCCGTTGTTGGTGATGTAGCTGTCATCTCTTGAGATCATTTCCATCAGAGTTTTTCGCTCATAAAGGTCCTTTTCCCTGTGGTGGGAAAAGATAGCTTTTGGTCTTCATAGAGAGTAAACATCCAGTTTCCCCACAGATTGTTGCCCAATGATCTTAACATCCTTTGGTGATTCTTGCCTGTGTTTACTATTTTTAAGGTGACTGTAAAATCAGCTTGGATTTTAAAAGAAGTACTGTGTCCGAAATGTGGAGCAAGGGCTGTGGAAGTGGAGAGAGTAGTTATGAGGCCCTTGCAGTCATCCAGGCAAGAGAGGATGGTGACGCTTGGCCCAATAGGATGGTAGAAGTAGAGATGGAGAAAGTGCTTCAGGCTGTATATATTTTGAAGAGCCAGCAGGATTGCATATGGAGTATGAGAAAAAGAAAGTAGTCAAGGTTAAATCCAAATTGTGTCCTGTATGCTTGCTTTGGCAGTACCTATACAAAATTGTGTCCCAGACAACTACTAGAGGATTGAAGCTGCCACTTACTAAAGAATATAAAAACGGGTTTGAGAAGAGAAACCAAGAATTTCATTTTGACCATGTCCCAGTTCTTTTGTGAGTTAGTTTGTTGTTGACAAACTGTTGGTAAAATGTTCCTTGAACTTGAATGTTCTCAGAGTTTACTAATGGCGCAGCCTTCTCAAAAGAACACTAGTGAACATTCACAGTTGCAATTCCCGAGGCAACAAAGGAAGTGCTATCTTTGGGGACACAGGACCATAGGAGGGTTCTGTTCTCTGACAGGTTCCCTTCCTTGGACAGAGCTGGTAGCTGTAGACTCATCACGGCTCTAAAGATTCAGTATTTCATCCAGGTTCCTAACTTTTGGCATTAATAATTGATTCAGGTTCTCTGACTCTCCTACTAATGAGCACCAGGAGTCCCTGTCAGAAACCTTGCTTACTGGCCCAAAAGATTGTCAGTCACAGTATTGCCAAAGAGCCGGCAGCTCACTGGCTGTGATATAGCTCTCCTGTGCATTGGTGCTGAGAGATCAAAGACTTTAGGGTTGTACGGGGCTCTCTCTCCTAAGTAATGTTGCTGTAGTAGTAGTAGTAGTAGTAGTAGTAGTAGTAGTAGTGGGTCTCTCTCCTAAGTAATGTTGCTGTAGTAGTAGTAGTTGTTGTAGTTGTTGTTGTTGTTGTTGTTAGGATTTATGTTTTGTTTTGTTTTTTTCAAGTCTAGATCCAAAAGATCCACTCTGGTCAAAGCACAAACTTTTAAAATTTCTCCCAGGTTTTATCTTAAAATGCAAACATAATTCTTTTCAGAAATCTCATTATTCTTTTCCAGAATCTGAAGGTAAATGAAACCTTTTCTAAAACCACTAAATATGTTCAGAACTTCCTACATTAAACCCAGTGGAGTAGATTTTCTCTGAAAAGATAATTGACTTCTACTTTTGCAGTATCCCAACAGCAGCAGTGATTAAAATCAACACTCAGGGTTCTGTGGGTTTGTACTGGGCAGCATCAGCCTCAACAACATTAATTAAACAGTAACAGTTGAGAGGCAAGCATTTCCTGGGGCTCAATAACCATTTAGAAGGACTTGGTAATACAAGACCCAGCCAGACACTAATCCTCAGGATGTACCTTATTGCTTCTATCATCATTTTTATGAGAAGGAAAGATATGTTGACATAATTATAAACTTTTTTAGTGCACAATGAAGTTGGTGTTGATAGAGCCAGCCTGTCTCCTGAAAACCTGCCCTCCACTCACAGCAAAGAATGGTGGTAGCTGGGTGTGGTGGTGCACGCCTGTAATCCCAGCACTGGGGAGGCTGAGCCAGGAGCATCTCAGCAGGTTCAAGGCCAGCCTGGGCTGTGTAGTAAGTTCAAGGCTAGTCTGAACTACATAGTGAGACCCTGTCTCAAAAAAACGAAAAGAATCATGGGTCTGTCATCTTTCTGCCAACTGTTCGGTTATGGTCATAATTTAAGCAGTCACCAAAACTAAGCCTTTTTTGACCGGGTATAGTGCCTTCAAGGGACTTCTTTTAGGAAAAGAACCTACTCTGTATGGGTGAAATACCTTAGGCTTTTAAATTTATTTCTATTGGGTAGCACGTCTCAAGGTACAGTCTGGAGTCTCAGAGACTCTTTCAGGGGATTATAAAATCAAAACCTTTAAACCAGGTATGATGCCCCACGCCTGTGATCCCAGCACTTGAGAGGCTGAGGCAGGAGGCTCACCAAGAGTTATAGACCAACCTGGGCTACACAGCAAGACCCTGAAAAAAACTATTCTTGAAAGAGGCCTACATGCCCATCAGCTGATAAATGTGTAAAGAAAAAATGGTATGAACAGTGGAGTACTACTCAGCCATAATGAAAGATAATTTGAGTCATTTGTAGGAAAATGGACGTGTCTTGAGACCATAATGCAGCGAAATAAGCCAGACACAGAAAGTTAAATATCGCATGGTTCTATTATTGTATGAGAAACAAAGTGTAAATAAGTTTTTGGTTGTTTTTTTGAGTCAGGGTCTTGCTGGCCTTGAACTTGCAGTGATCTTGCCTCAACCTCTCAAGTGCTGGGATTACAGGCACATGCCACCACATCTGGCTGAGTATTAATAATTAGAAGAACAAAATAAAAGATGGATGATTAGAAACAAAGAGGTAGACTTTGCGGAGATGGGAAGGGCACCTGGAGATGGGGGAGGGGAGGGAGAGGTGGGAGTAAAAAGGATCAAGATACAATGCATATATGTACCAATCCCCATGGTGAATGTATTCATTGTATACCTCAAACATATACCAATTTTAAAAAAAGAAATGGGCTCTTTTTCCTTTAAAAATAAGAAAACTTCATCATCATAAATGCCATTTGCCCTTGCTGTTCTCCTTCTCTTAAGACTGGATGTGTAGAGTTTTCCAGGTACTAGAAGATGTGTGACATAATGGCTATGGAATACATACTTGTATATACTTGAGTTTTTAAGATTTTCACCAGGCATGGTGGGAGACACCTGTAATCGCAGTACACTAGAAGGCTGAGGCAGGAGGATGGCAAGTTTAAGCTAGTGACTTAGCGGGACCCTGTCCTGAAATAAAAAGTAAAAAGGGGGTCAGTGCAAAGGTTCTGGGTTTAGTCTCCACTACTATCAAAAAAAGTTTATTATGGGGCCGGGGATTTAGCTCAGTGGTCCTGCCTGCCTCGCAAGCGCAAGGTCCCGAGTTCGATCCTTGGTACCAAAAAGGAAAAAAAAAAAAGTTTGTTATGCCATTTTTATAACTTTGTGATCCTATAGTTCGTTTTTCAAAGTTATAAGTTTTAGCCTGCTGTGGTGGCATAGGACTGTAATTTGAACTACTCAGGAGGCGAGGCAGGACTATTATAAGTTCCAGGCCAGGGGCTGGGGATTTAGCTCAGTGGTTTTACCACCTGCTATGCAAATGCAAGGATCCAAGTTCAATCCCCGGTACCAAAACAAACAAAGAAACAAACAAAAATCCTATAAGTTCCAGGCCAGCATAGCCAACTTAGCAAACCCTGTCTCAAAATAAATTTAGCTCAGTGGTTTTGCCGCCTACTATGCAAATGCAAGGATCCGAGTTCAATCCCCAGTACCAAAACAAACAAGGAAACAAACAAAAATCCTATAAGTTCCAGGCCAGCATAGCCAACTTAGCAAAACCCTGTCTCAAAATAAATTTTTAATAAAAGGCCTGAGGATGTAGCTCAGTGGTAGAGCACTTGCCTAGCATATGCAAGGCTTTGGGTTCAGTCCCCAGTAACACCCACCCCCCAAATTAAAGTTCCTTTCTAATACAGCAAATACAGTAGGTATAATTAACATAACCAAGAATTTTCTGGGGTCCTCAGTGATTTTAAAGATGGGTGTAAAGGATTCCTGACCAAAAATTATTAGGACCCACTTCTTTAGGATATGTAAATGTGGTAAGAAATTTTCTTTCCTTTAGAAACTTGAAAGAAATTAATTAACTTTTTATTTTCAATACCCTCTGCCTTCTTCTTCTTGACGTTCTCCATTTAGGAGCAAAGGAGAGCAAGGAGACCTCTCTACCCTGACAAGCCCTTCTCACTAAAATGTCCAGCAAAACTCACTTCACCACCCATAATTTTATCTATGGTTCATGTAAAGCAGTCTCAAAGCCATACATTCCATATAAACTTCATAAAGAGACTTACAGCCCCGGGCTAAGGTTCAGAAAGACTCCCCGGAGGGGAAAAACACCCCTCAACCTGATTTTAAGAGTGAAGGAAAAAGCGTGATTGGGCATGCCTGTAATTCCAACACTCTGGAGGCTGAGGCAGGAGGATCGACACAAGTTTGAGGTCAGCCTGAACTACATAGCGAGGCTCTGTCTCCAAAAAACCAAAAAAAATTTTTTTTTAAAAGTGAGGGAAGAAAGCCACAGTTAATCCAGAACCAAAACTGCTATGAAGGCCTGGAGGTTCAACTGTTAGGCCGTGATCTCATATAGTATTTTTGCATATACACTGAGTATCTCTTTTACCGCACAGAGGTAACATTTTCTTATTAAGAAGGATTAAAATCTGTCCAAACTATGATGTATAGATAACTTTTTTCTAGGCTACCACATACGCTAGTGAATTACAGAGAAGCTGTCTTTCCATTAGAGAAAGTATGGGTCTGTTTTTCGGGGAGGTATGGGTGGTATGACAGAAAGGAAGGATGGGGCACTGCTTTGTGTCATGGCTTCCCGTAAGAAAGGGTCCTGAATTAGGCCTTCTGGCAGAAAGGCTTAGAACCTTAAAGCAACATGTTGGCACGGCCTTGCCGCATCACCTCTGGCTTGTCCCTTCCACCTTTGGTCCTCAGCATCCTTATCAGCCTGAATCCCATCTAGAGGACAGGCTGGGATCAACTTGCTGAAAAATACTTCTTTAAAAACTCTTCTTCATGGGCCGGGATTTAGCTCAGTGGTGCCACTGCCTGCCTCACAAGCACAAGGTCCTGAGTTCGATCCCCAGTACAAAAAAAAAAAACCCCAAACTACTTTTTCTTACCTCCCTATGTTCTACAAATTTTAAATAGACCTACTTCTTTTTGACGGTGTCTTCTGTCCCAGGGGCTCGGGCAGACTCACCTGAGTGCTAAAACTGTCACCACCCGGGGTGGCAGAGTGGCCTGGGCCTGCTTATCTTTCCATCTGGTGCAGTGTTGTATGGAGGACCAAAGCCTCCCCATTCGGAGTGGAGTGGCCCATCAAACAGCACATCTACCTACGACTCTAAAAGAACATTGTCAGCTGTTGCTCTGACTTCTTAGTCTTGGTGTAAGAAAGCTTATATGAATTTAATTTGTTCCTGACTTAGTATTTTCCCATTCCAACTTTTACTCTGTTTTCCTCCCATAAAATGACAGCTAAATGAGGATTATTTGTATCATATTGTGAGACACTTTGATGAATGGATTTCACTGCCTATAAAATTTCTGATTTGTGAGTTGAACTCTTAGCAAACATCATAAATGCTGAGCTATCACCTATACAGTTAATTTTGCTCTAGGCAATTATAGAGCTTTCCTGTAAAAATGAAAGTTTAAAATTCTGCCCTCGCCTGGGGAACCTCAGCCCTGTGGAGCCAGTGGGGACTTGGCCTGTGACCATTCCCCCTTTCCCTGATGTGCTGGAGGGGCAGTCACCGCCCCATGGCAGCCAATCACCCTGAGATATTTGTATGCATCCAGAATGTATGTGTTAGCATTAAAACTTTACCTTTTTTGTCCTTTTCTTACCTTTCCTCTCAATTTCATAGGGTGATATCCACGAGGATTTTTGCAGCATTTGCAGAAAAAGTGGCCAGTTGTTGATGTGTGACACGTGTTCCCGTGTATATCATCTGGACTGCCTCGACCCACCTCTGAAAACCATCCCCAAGGGCATGTGGATCTGTCCCAGATGTCAGGACCAGGTACTGGGGTGGCTGGGACCAAGGAGAGCTGAGGAGGCAGCGGCAGAGTTCCTTCCCCTCTACCCGGGACGTGGGATCCTCTTCTCTCCCCACTTGTCCTTTTCCAGACTACATCTCCTCCCCCTGTGCACAGCACACTCAGGCACAGCCTCGTGCCCTCAGTCCATCCCCTGGCAGGTGGTGAGACCCAACCTGCTTCCCTGCACTCGAAATACGGATCTTCTCTTTAAACATCAAGGCCCTCTAAAGTTCATCCTGCATCATTCTCTAAGACAAGCCCCAAACCCAGTGTCTGGCTTTAGATCTCTTCTTTGGGAATAAAATCCTTAAAGGAAAGTGCCCAGTTGATTAGTTCAAGTAACAGCCATTTCACTTGTAAATTCTGTTATCATTAGGCTCAGAGAACTAACTGTAAAGTGCTGTCTTCATATTTCAAATGCAGAAGGCACACACATTAGTAACTGACCTAGCTACCTCTTTCCTTCTCTGGTTCCTAGTCTCATTTTCTCAGTTATTCGTGTATTTTTATGTCTTTTTTTTTTTTTTTGGTACCAGGCATCGAACTCTGGACCTTCTGCTTTCGATGCAGGGCAGAACCACTGAGCTAAATCCCTGGCCCCTTTATGTCTTTATAAAAGATTTATATCTGGGTGTGGTTGCACACACTTCTTTTTCTTTTTTCCCATTAAGTTTATTGGTACATTTTAGGTATAAAATACAGTTACATTCATCATTAGGATCGTGTACCTGTACATGATGTATCTTGGTTCTTATTTTTTCCCCTTCCCCTGCCCTCCCTTCACCCCCTCCACCCTTTCCTATTTGCAAAGACTTTGTTTCCATTTTTTTCCTTTTCTAATATTTTT